CCCCCCCCCCCCCCAAAGAAAAGAAAGAGGAAAAGAGAGAGAGAAACTAAATGGGCAATGCAGAAGTGCAGAGCCCATACATAGAGGGTGTTTGGCAGTGTGCTGCTTTTAATAATTTAGCTTCTGCTTTGAGTAGAAGTGGTTTTACTCTGTTTGACATGTCAGCTTCTGCTTTTCACAACCACTATTTACTATTTTGTACATAGAACACCGTCTCGGAGAAGCAAGTATGAGGTGCTTTTGCTCTCAGCTTTTGTGGAAATCACTTTATCCATAAGTTAATCTCTCCCAAACACCCTCATAGTATACCATGTAATCTAGTATGGATTTTTGTGAAAAGCTGGATTAAGGATTCCAACATAAATTTTTCCCACACCTACTTCAACTCTCTGTACCTTTTCTTGGACATAATCAAAACAATGGGCACACACACTTAATTTAGATATTTTAAAGTAGATTTGTTGGTTATTTTTTGCATGTGCATTCACAGGTTGCACCATGGCCACCTAGAGATGGATCATTTTATAAGAGATTACCAAAATCAAGTGCTATTAAAGTAATTGATTTTGGTAGCACAGCATATGAGCGAAAAGACCACAATTATATTGTCTCAACTAGACACTATCGCGCGCCTGAGGTTATCCTTGGTAGGTTGTCATGTTCCTTATTTCTTTGGTCTCCATTTAAGTGTGTTCACTTAGGCTGCGTTCCGTTTGCTTGATCTGATCTTATTTTTGAAGATCTGGTCTGATCTGATCTGATTACAATTATAATTAAAGCTATTTCTGATCTGGTCTGATTATAATAAGAATAATAAGAATAAGTAATAAGTAGAAAAAATAAGTTGAACAGAACCTGCCTAACTGTTCTGTTTTTGCATTTTGTTATTTTTTCAAAACTAATCTATTGTTTATCTTAATTTAGGTCTTGGATGGAGTTACCCATGTGACATGTGGAGTGTTGGTTGTATATTGGTGGAATTATGCGCGGTATATAAATGCATTTGTTTATTGGCAAAAACGATATTGCTTGCTTGTTCAATAAAACCAAGATCATGTTACATGTGTTGGTCTTTCAGGGTGAAGCTTTATTCCAAACACATGAGAACTTAGAGCACCTTGCCATGATGGAGAGGGTTTTGGGTCCTTTTCCACCTCAAATGTTGAAAAGAGCTGGGTGCGTATCCCTTGTTCAAACGCTTCATAACTATTATCATTGTTGTCCATTATTCCTGCATATTGTGTTAATTTTGGATGTGTCCGTTTGTTTAGTCGACATGCTGAGAAATATGTGAAAAGGGGTAGACTTGACTGGCCCGAAGGTGCAGCCTCCAGGGATAGCATTAAGGCTGTCATGAAATTGCCCCGTCTTCAGGTAGATTCTAGAACTCTGAGTCTGATTGTTAAGGTGGTGTGGGGTAACATTGCTGTTTTCTACTCCGAATTTGTGTTCATTCGTCGGAAACAGAAATAAGAAGGGTGAATTTTCCTTCTCTGAGAACATTGTAATGTTTAACAAAAATGTTTTTTCCTTCTCTGAAAACAAGAATAGGAATTTAACAATTATTGGGAGATGCATTTCAACCTTGTGGTTTCATCGTTTTTGAAAACATGTTCTCAGCTGACACTGATTATACAACATTCAGGATAGAATTTACTTAAAAAACATCAGGCCGGTTCTATGGCCACTCTCTTTGAGTGGCCACGGAGGACTCTGAACACGTACGGTGCTCCGTTTGTAAAATTGATAGTTCTTACCCCCTACCCCCGGTAACACCCTCCCCATCCAGTCCTAACCCCAACCCATCCCCCTACCCATGTTAATTGCACCCTGCAAGTTTAGTTGACTTGCGGGGTGCAACTGACGTGGGTGGGGGATGGGTTTGGGTCGGGACTGGGTGGGGGGTAAGAAGAGGTGGGAACTATCAATTTTGCAAATGGAGCACTGTAGGTGTCCAGTGTTCTTCATGGCCACAGAACCTATCTGAAAAAACATATATTTCCATAATAAATCCGTTGTATACACCATTTTAGATGAAACATCCTTCGATTCTGCAGAATTTGGTGATGCAGCACGTGGACCATTCGGCAGGTGACCTTATTGACCTTTTGCAAGGGCTCCTTCGGTACGACCCTACCATTAGGACAACAGCTCGCAATGCACTCAAGCATCCTTTTTTCACCTGTGACCATTTGAGGAGGTCGTAAAAGGGCACCGTGGATGATTTGTTCCCCCCCCCCTACAACACATCAAGGTGCGTATTATTGCACCTCGCCTTTGCTTTTTGTGTGGATTCCTTGAAAAGCGGGACCCGTTCGCCCCAAGTCTTTAGAGCCTCGTGTAAATGATGTCATCCGGAGAAAGCCCCTCAGTTTCCATGTTGTGATCTTGTGGTCCTGGTGTCATTGCACCCATAAGTTTTGTAAGAGCAGCT